CTCTAGCGTATCGAATTAGTTGGGAAACATGAACACCATATGCAGGTGATGTTGGAATAAGACTCCATAAAAAAGGAAGTTTCTAATGCTTTTCTTTTTCCAAAATCCAAAAGCTTGAATTTTTGCTTTTATAGCCTTATGAAGATATTGAATATTTGTTAACAAATGATAGTAAATCTATAATAAATACTAGTACTAGTAGATAATAGATAAATAAATCAGTAAATAAATAAATAAAGTAAACTTTGCTTACACTTTATTTGCTAGAAATAAACTACATTCTTGTCAATGAAATAAAAGTTTGCTTTTACCGTGTATTTAGGTATACAAGCTCACCTTTTATGAGGAGAAGATAAAAAATGTATTAAGTTATTTATATATATTCGTGTATGGTTTTCTGACTATCTTGATCAGCTTTACGGAAAAGGGGGAGGGGTGAATAAAGGAAAAGTATCGTATTTTTCGCAATGTACTAGGAAAGCATTTCTCATTCTTAGATATATCTTTATTCACCCCAATTCCCTCTTCTTTTACGATAAAAAAGAGATAAAAATCTGAATTCGGCCGTAGATGAAATTATGTGAGTGTAAAGAGAGTTGAGGGTATAAACAGATTAATGCACCCTCGATAAATACAATGTTGTTGTCGGGTATGAAATCTTTACAGGTCTCTTACTGGCAAACAGTTAATCATTTTTATATACCAGGTCATAGGTGAACTAAAGTCTGTCCAATAACCTAGAACCTCAAACCTAGAAAAACAGAGTAGTTGTTGTGACCTTTTGTGTGTTTTTTCACCAAGTGATAATGACCTAAAGAGGGCATGTGACATGTGAGTTTTGTATTGTAGATTATAAACTAATTTTGATACACTACCTTTTAAGTAGCTGTGTTATAATTAGGTACTCATGGCATTAAGGTTGGGTTTATAATTTATGTTCATGTACCAAACACTCGAAAAACACACTAATTACCATTTTATATTCCCGATCAGTTTTGTCGTGACTACAGAGGATATGTTGAAATTTATAACGTATCTCCCGTTCACTTAACCATGAATACACATCACCGGAAGTAAGACGGATGTCCTAGAATGACCAACTAGTGTGATGGATGATGATGATTAATTTAATTTCATGCAAACTTTTGGACAATTTAAAAGATCCAGAATGGATTTAGGGTTTGTGAGATACCATTCTGTATTTAAGTGGTAACATATTAAGGTGGACTAAATATGGGAAGTTTGAAATTAGACAATATATTGTAAGTACATGTATGTTGGTCATAACACCAATATCATCCAATTTACATTACTCAGTAAAATTTATTTTAATTCCTAATGAGTTCTGTATATATCTAATTTTTTTCTCCAAAGATTATTTTAATTCCTTATAACTGAGAATTCAGTATAACTGTCTCCCTCCCAAATTTGTTTTACTGTATCTAATATCAATTTAGATTCCTTTTGAACAACAGTTTCCAAACAAGTTACATATTTATGTTTATTTCTGAGAGTATAAATATTAGGATTATACACATACAATCATTTACTTTCCTTATTATTAAAAAAAACATGTTTAAATTAAATATAAATTTGCATAGTTATGGACATTTGTCGAAGATCAATACATCTATTAATTTGACATTGTTTTGTGCTATCAATGGTCTTTAATTAGTACCAAATTCTACTTTATGTTCCGAATATCATGCAATTGATTTACACGTATTAAAATGTTTGATACTTTTGCGTTAGGTGGAAAGAACTAATCGATATGACGCGATAGAATTGTGTATTACACAGAACAATTTAAGTTTCCTCCCGATTTTATGTTAACATTATTTGATGTATTAATTGCCCCCATATGTTACTTCCGGTGGAATCTACCTTCCAAGTTCATTTTATGTCATTCGCCTTATTTATTGTACATTAAGTATTGAAATAAGTAAATATTGATGATCTGGCTCAAGAACTACAATTTATGATAGAACAAATAATATTCAAATGTTTTTCTTATTCGGGTGGAGGTAGGTTAATGAGTTTTCTTGTCTTCTTGGGGATAAAGTATTTTTCACATTGGGGGTGGAGGTAGGTGAATGAGTTTTGTTGTCTTGCCGGTATTTGGGGGTGGGTGGGGTATGGAAGTAGATTAATGGGTTTTCTTGTCTTATTAGGGGTGGAGTAGGTTAATTAGTTTTCTTGCCTTTTTGGGGTCGGAGGTGGATTAATGAGTTTTCTCGCATTATTTGGGGTTGAGGTAGGTTGATGAGTTTTCTTGTCTTTGGGGGTTGGGTTGGGGTTGGAGGTAGATAAATGAGTTTTCTTGTCTTGGTGGGGGGGGGGGGGGCTAGGTTAATGAGCATTTTTGTCTTTTGGGGGGGGGGGATGGAGTGTTTTTCATATTAGGGTGGATGTAGGTGAATGAGTTTTAGTTGTCTTATTTTGGGTTGAGGTGGGGTCGGGGTGGGGGTGGAGGTAGGTGATGAGTTTTCTTGTCTCACTGGGGGTGGAGGGTGATGAACAAGTTTTCTTGAGTTGATATTGATATTAACAACCAAATGAAAAAATATGAAAATTTTGTTAATCGTTGATTTTTATATTACGCATGCGCCATTCATCCTATAATCAAGACGTTCGGGGGAGTATTCTGTGGTCCTACTTATTTTTAATTCAAATAGAAACTAACACGTATAATTTCCAAGTAACTAGTACAAAAATCACATCAAAGGTTTATGATAACTCTAACAGTAATACATGTTGGTTTGGCAATTGCAATGGAAATGAAGGAGGTTTGTGTTCAACAAATTACCCTACAGATCGAAGTAGAATATGAAATAGTAGTTTTTTTTTATCCATAAATTATAATTTATAAAAGAAAAATCCCACATGTTCCAGCTATTATATTTCATGCAATTTCCTATTATCTTACATGTATATAGAGCTCTTTTTTCCAGGAGTTTTAAAAAGTCAAACAATGGCCATGACCACCCAGCCCTCTTAATTTTAAGTATAAATTTGCTTTCCTATTGCGGATGCTCATTTAAGAAAAATTTACTAAGATATACAGTGTATGCAGTATAAAAGGTTTTTTTTATTAAACAAGAACTAATTTATATTTGGTGGTCCATTTAAAAGAAATGGTTAGAGAATTGTAAAACCCATGTCTTTTTGATCCATCCCAACTTTTTTTTAACCATAAAAGCAAATAGCAATAAATAAATAAATAAAAAAAAACACGGATTTTTTTGTGTGCATTTCATCAAAATTAATATCTGAAAAACACACAGACACATACATTGCAATTTAAATTTTGAATCAATATATTAGTTAAGAAATAATTAATACTGTGAAAACACTTGTCGTATAAGTATAAAATAGTGACACGTATTAAATTGTGGTTGAATAATATCCTTAACACTTATAACCAATGACTGTATACTTGTAGATATACTTACACTGAAACCGATTTGATAATTTTAGATTTTAGCATATGATGTGTGGATTATTCCACATCCGTATTAATATCATGGTATATTTCTAATAACAGAAAACAATCCCAATAATTATATCTGCTTTCACCGACCACTCGGTTCAGTGTACATCTATGATAAACTTCCACATGACACAGAAGGTTTTTTTTTACCCCCCGGTAATGGCCTCTTGTTGTCTTTGTATTCTTGATTTCCTTGATAAATCGGGTCGATTACCAGCAACAAAGGTTAGTCGACTTGACGTACGGACATTTCATACCAAGGACTGGATTATCCCATCAGTAGGTACGTACATCTCCTCCCGTTTCTTTTTTTTTTTTGGGGGGGGGGGAGGGGGTACAGTTTGTAAGGGGAAGGAATGTACCAGTGCAAATAGGACATATTAAAATGAAATTTCGTAGTTAAAACAAAAGAACTATTCACCTGGAATTTCGCCCTTATATCTGAAGCATATTGCCCGGAGGGATGGGAGAGTGAATTAATATTGACAATTATGTTTAGTTGCTTACCATCAAAATGCAGACATAATTTTAGGAAATAAAGGCCCTATTTTGTCCCTCTGAACCTGTATTCACCCTGTCATGCTTTTGCAGGACTGAACTTGAGACGATTAGAAAATATACAAGATAACTTGGAAATCCAATTATTAATGTGTGTGATTGTAAAATTTCATTACAGAATTAAAAAAAAAAAGATTTAACGTTTCCTTGCCACTGTATTTGTATTGAAGGTTCCTATATAGACCAATTTCCTTGTATTGTATTTATTTGTATAAAAAGGTTACTAAGTCATAAGACTGAACTATATATACAATACATATATAAATTTCCTTGAGTTGTTTCCACGGTTGGCTTATATTTGCATTAAAAATGTGTCACAGTGGTTCATATAACCATATATATGCATTATGCTGTGTTATTTTTACCCATCAAATTTTATCCATTCTATCCTCGGACCTTTCTATTACACATCTAATAAGTTTGATCTTTAATAAGGATGCGTGTTTGAGAAAACTCAAACTACTGGGAGAATTAAAAAAAAAGGTGCATTTACTTTTTCTTCCCAGTCTTTATTTCTGTTCTTTGCTAAACGGAAACCAAAATGCCAATTGGCTTACAATTTAAGCTCTTTTTGAGAAAGAGATTTTTTTGATAATCTATCCAACATTTTTGTTTTGAAAAGTGTGCAAGAGGGCAAGTACATGTACATGTATACCCAATCAGTCATAATTGCAATCTAAAATTCTTTGGTACGATCACGGAGAGTGCAATATCTATTATTTCATGCAGATTTCAATAGCTGTATTAACGCTTTCAGTTCTAGTCTATATCCCATGCACAGCAGAAGAAAGTTTCAATAGACTGTAGTAGCTCGTACCGTTTAATTTCAACCTTGGAAAACGGATGCGGCAACAAGATATTTCTGTTTGTTATAAATCGGCGATGTATACTATTTTTCATACTTAATGATTTTTTTTTTAGTTTGAACAAGATGAAATAGAAGATCATAAGTATGACAGATCCTGGAAATATCACAAGCAATACCCCGGAACCCGAACCTGAAATATACAGTACTTCTGCAGAACCGGAAGTGTATTATAACAGTACTACAGCACATCCGGAACCAGAACCAGAGGGATCGGGATCGGGATGGCCAGAGCCCGAGCCTGAGTGGTCATCAGCGATAGACGAATGGGGTCCAGCATGGCCTTTCCATACATATTTCTTTGGATGTTCTTTTCTGATTGCGGATATTTTAGCCATTTGTTTTTTATTTCGAGCAATAAAAGGTTACAACAGACATTACAAAAGCAGCCTATCTGGATCTCTTCTGGCAATGTTAATTATGTTTTGTTCACTGCGATTTATATGCCTGATTGTAGACCCTTATCACACGGAGAAAGTTTTTACTAGACTAGCTGCTAGATTACTGTGGTCACTTGGAAGTCCATTTCTACTTTCATCCTTCAGCCTAGTTCTCTTGGCGCTGATTGACACTACAAAAATGAGCGTCGGACCCCCAAAATTTCAAAAATTACCAGCTATTCTGGGATTTACGGCCTCTCACGTCATACTGGTCATTTCTACAGACCTCTCCGTACTTTTCTTCCCAGAGACTGACCCCCTCCTTGTGGTTTGTCAGGGTCTCTTCATCGTGTTTGGATTTTTGATGTGTGTGGGATATCTATATGTAGCAGTAAAGATCCGGAGTAATTTGTCTGCCAGCTTCAGTCAACTACAAAAAGGTTGGTATTCGATTTTTTGGTTACCTATACTATTTTTACTGTATTACAAATTAATCTTGGCTTAATCTGAAATCGAAAGAAAGGATTCTTTTAAAAGTTTAAATGTTTTCAGTGAGTTGAGATAAAAATCCATAAAAAAAAGATGCAAAGAAAAGGATCAAATGCTGTATTACATGCATGACATTGGTACTAATAATCGGATAAAATTGGCTTTGTGATACTAATAATCGGACAAAATTGGCTTTGTGATACTAATAATCGGACAAAATTGGCTTTGTGATACTAATAATCGGACAAAATTAGCTTTGTGATACTAATAATCGGACAAAATTGGCTTTGTGATAAAGGAAAGGAAATGGAAATCAATTTCTATATATATATATATATATAATGTGATGCTTTAGAACTACCATCGTTTTTCATTTCTGCTTTTTCTCCTAAAATTTATTCCTGACATGCTAATTGACTTCTTGTATTAATTAGTTCATATCAAGGTTAAATATTCCGCTATTATTGATCAGAAGAGTCACTAATTAATACAATTCATACAAATAAAAACTCAACAGTAGTTGCAAAGGGAATATTAATTTCTAATTATTTTTATTACGGTAAATGTTTGTCATCAATAACGATACCGTCGCCATACATAAAACATTTTCATACAAATACCGCCCAATAGAAACAGTTTCACAATACCTCCACATCAAATGGAATCCTTTTTCATCGGACACCCGTTCAATTTGCTTTCGCTAGAATTGCCCTTTGAGCCTACCATAATGGCGTGCTATGGCATTCAAATTTTAACTGTTCTTTGACAACATGTGCGTGTAGTAATTTAATGAGAATCGTATCTTTGATAATTACAGGTATATACGATACCTGTGAAGTTTTACCGACAACTATTCAGTTTGTGTGATGAAAGTGATGAGTGACATTGATGTATTTTAGATATTGAAAACAAATAATGTAAATTATTATTTTAAATGTCTGGTCTTTCCTTTGATAAATGACTTGGTAGGTATGTATGACATTATTTCAGAAGGGCATATTACAAAATATAAAGAAAAAAATCTTCTGAATTCGGTGTCATAATACAAAGTTCAGTGCTAGATGAAAACCATCCTAAGTCTTGTCGTTTGTACACATGACTTGTACACTGTAGATATCAAACATACACAGTAATTTAACGATTTGCATTATTATATGATTGAATAATCCCTAGCTCATTGATTGGCTGAGATCAAATATTGTAGAAAAACACACGTTATATTCACCTGCACGTGAACTTCCAGGTGAACTTCAGGATTCATTTTTTCTACATTGGACTAAAAATAGATTACGAACTGATTGGTGAATATTGTACTCCTTAGGTGGCTAATTCATTATACTGACCTAAAAAAAGCAATAATTGTATAATAACGATCATAGAGCTCTGCAGAACTGCAGCCCTCTGGTTGAGAAAATTCGGACAAACACACGAGCTACAGGTTGCACAACAGTATTAAATTTTGTTATATATTCTTACCAAAAATGCGCAACTTTGAGTAGGTGTTATTGATTGAAAACAAACTTTTGAGAAGTTTCCTTTTCAGTTCTTGTAAAACAATTCTTTATAAAGATTTTAGTACCAAAAAATACATAGCCATCCAGCAATGCACGCAAGTTTGATTCGGTCGAAGTCGAGCAGGTGCTTGAAAATCAAGTCCAGGACCTAATCACTCCCCACTCAAATACAGTATATAGAAAATTCAGCACGCCCTAAATTTTAATGAATCTAGTCAATATAGGAAGTTTACATATTGTTTTTCATCTCAAAAAAAAATTCAGCTCCAGTCTCGTGTTAAAATGCCCGAATCGGAAGGGAAGATTCAGGAATTATTTTGCGTCAGCCATGATTTGACGTGAACCTCAAGTGAAATACTGTTATGCCACCTACAGATCCGGGCGTTGTAAAAACCTTCGATTTACGCCGCCGCCTGTCTGTCGCTCGCTTAGGGTATTATGCGTTCCCTCGCCAAAAGCATGGTATCGGACTATCGTTTATTAATCATATTGTATTTTACTCATAATTGTATTACTTTATTTACCTTTCAACGGATCTACACAGCCCTGTCTGGTCTTGGAATGTTAGTTTTAAAAATTCGTATTCCGATGGCCATGTTGGGGTCATGGTAAAATTATATCTACTGTATTTTTCATATAAATATCGCATTCTTTTATGGACGATACAGATGTAATGTGCCCCCACCCCCAAAAGTTTTATTTAGATTTTCTCGGCATATGTATGTTCTTTAATAGACGTATTTTACCACGACCCCAACGTGGACTTTGGAATGCGAATGTGACATTCCAAGGTCATTTAGATCTACAAAAAATGTATTTGGAACCGTTGAAAGGTAAATATGAGTAAAATATAATCTTATTATGGTTAATGGATACATACTTTTGGCGGGGTACGCTTACAATACAAGGGACAGGTTGCTGTCCTTTAAAAAGGACTGCTATACGTGGACCATGTGTATGTGAGCCGAAGAAAAGTTTTTGGGTTTGTTGAAAATAGGTATAATTAAATTTGCATCTTTTATCTTGAAATGTAAATTTTTCATCATAATTTAAGAAGTCTATTCGCTAAATTAAGCTGTAATAATTAATAATTTTATGACCTTAATATTAAATGTGGATCTAGGTATCTATCATTGTAATGTAGCCTTAAAAATTAACCTCAAAATTAAAAGAGGCTTTCACGAGCTCGTATCATAATAGTTGTGATTTTTTTTAAATTGGAATAACTAGACCTTAAAACACACCCCCTACTTATTTTTTCCTCCTCTGTCAATTACTTGTACCATATAGACAATAAACAACTTAATTGTTAAATATAAATATTTCTACTATTATGATACATTATGCATAAATATAGTAAAACTATTTTTATTTACCAAAATATACTAAGATGCATGTGCATAATTAAGTGATGATTTATATACCAGTCCTACGGGATTCAGTCTGAGCGTTATCGTTATCATTCAGATTATTAAAAGACATGTCAACTTTGCGTAAAATAGCTATGGCGATTTGTCTTTGTGAATATGGCGAGTAATCCTAACGGAGAGTTCTGGCTGGTGTGCATTGGCCTGAAGGCGAGTTCTATTAGGGACGTTCTGTCTAGCATTCTAGCGCACGAGTTTTCCCCATCGCATCCGTTTTAACCTCGCTTATATATTTTCTGCGTGGACTTCAGGGTTAATGCAATAATACCCGAAACGAATGACTAAAAAGAGGCAGCGTAATTCGAAGGTTTTTACAACGCTTGGATCTGTAGCTCTCTGGTTTGTCCAAATTTTCTCGAACCCAGAGAGCTACAGTTCTGCAGCTACTTGTATATTAATGACTTATTGTGGATTTTCTGATCTTTAGAAGAATTTTTTCAACAGATTTTTATCCCATATATTACCATGTAAAACGGCCTTGATTGGCCAAGATTTGAACAAACTTTAACCTGCAATTCCTGAAGATGCTTGCATATAATTATTCTGATTAATCATTGCATTCCCGTTCTTAAAAAAAAGATTTTTTAAAAAGATGTTTCTCTACATATCTCAGTATAAGATCTGAGCTCCTATTATGGTCCCACCTTACCATAATTTGAACAATCTTGAATCTACACTTTAAAAAAATCTTTGAAGAAAATAATTTTCTGGTCAAGTGGTTCCTGGGAAATTTTCTTCGACAATCATCCTATTTTTACCTTTTCTTAATATCTCCCTTTAGAAGGGGACATGACCCTTCAAATGAAGAAAATTTAATCCCTTTAATCAAGAATATATTGTGCTCATTTTGGTTGAAATTGGCCCAGTAGTTCCGGAGAAGATGAAAATGTGAAAAATTTACGACAGACAAATATCGATCAGAAAAGCTCACTTAAGCATTTTGCTCTGGTGAGAAAAAAAAAATCAAATTTCATATTTTAATGTTAGTGATGTTTCTGTTGGCGATCATTAATATTTTCGCGCCATTAAAAAAACATAAATGTAGTTTTAACAGAACATCGATTTGATAGTTTGCTTTGTCTGCTTTCTAAACAATTCGGTTTAAAACTGTTTTGGTATCATTTGTCTGGTATTGGACAATGGTAACGAGATTTATTATTTGTTTTCAGACAGCTCTGGAATATCACGACTAATTTTTACCTGTTACGTTTCCTCTGTCATCGGTTTTATGATCATTGCCACGCACATCTATGCTGCTTCCGGCGTGTTTGGAGTCTTTAGTGACGTCAAATTTGTGGACTCTTGGTCATGGTGGGCACTGCAAACACTGATGCGTTCCGAAGAGCTAGCAGAAGTTATTGTTGTCTTATGTGTTGCCAAAAGGTCACTGCTTCCAAAGCAGGCTTTGAAAAGATTGGTTTCCTGTTTAAAATGTTGTAACAGAGACAGTGTTAAGAAAATACAGATATTTCCTCTAGATGACACGTTTGAACAAACGCATGATATAAATACCGACAATCTACGGACAAACAATGGAGTAAAGAGTACAACTTTGCACTGACACTGCCATCATGAAGATGTTTATGTGTACAAAAATGGTTAATAATTAATCTGTGTAGATTTCTTGATGATATTACACAAAATATAGGCATTAAATTCTTTAAATACCTTTAGTTTTTGTACATTTACTGTACGAGTGATTACTTAATAAAAAATTCTTGGTTGCTGTTAAACTTACAAAGAAGTCCAAGGGCCATAAAACTCATCTGATTCCTCTCTGACAAATGAAACGAAATTCAAAGTTTACATATTATAATGATATTACATGCATTCATTACGTTTGAATTCCATTATTGCTAGCGCTTTCGAGCGCTAGCAACTACGTTAGTCTATATTTCTGAAATACGCATGCTCGATTTCACGGTCGGGGATTCTGGGAAAACTACTGTAGATAGACTGTACGATAAGAATTTCGTTTTGTCATACAAAAATAGAAATGATCCGAATTTACACTGGCCTTTCCTGTCTGATATGCGCGAAATACATTTCGTAGGTTAGAGAGAGAGTCAGTACCAGTCTAGATCCGGATTCTGATTCTTTTTTTAATTTATTGTCTAACCTACACATAAAAGTACAGGAAAAAATTTGGCCATATAATGCCAAAATTCTAGACATCTAGCTTTCCTTACAGTTTTACAACTTTAGTGGATAATTCCGGCAAGCTAGGAAAAAACAACAACAACAACCACAACAATCTTTTTCAGAGTATGTCGGAAAGACATGTCAATTTAGTGTTTATCATCTGAAAATACATATGATCTGAAGTTTCGTGTTTTGTTGTCTAACCTGCACGTAAATGAACAAAAAGTAACAGTAACTCGGGTCTTATAAAACCAAGACTATTATTTATAAGCAGTAATGTATACATAGCTTTTTTAATCTACCTTCATGGATCTTTCTGGCAAGCTCGGAAAACCGCGGCAACCTCGGATATGTTTTCCGAGCTTGCCGGAAAGGCCCAAATTAAGGTGCTCATTGGTTCTACTGACCTTTTATTTTTCACCTCGAAATTGAAAATACAGTAAAATTCAGAATGCTTAAAGCACAGTTAGGAGTTATGCCATTGCCGACGTGAAGCACGCTCTTAGATTCACCATTCTGAATTGTGACCCCCCCCCCCCCCAAACTCAACCCCCAGTGTACCAATCTGCCTTCCTATCAATAATTAATCGATTCAGCAAATTTAACAAATGGTTCAGATATCTTCTTCTGTATTTTATTATGCTACAGCGCTAGCTCACCAATCTTTTTAAAAGATAAGCTTGGTGCATCAAAATTAGAGGCGCGTTCGGTCGTCTTACTGGGACAGCATGGCGTTACGGATAATACAAAACATGCCAATCTCAATCCAATTTTAAATGTTAAATGTATTTGGCATTCCAATTAAAGAATAAAAGAACTAAAAGACATATGTAAGAAAACCCTAAATTTATCATCCATTAATAAACAATACGACATTTCCGAGGCATGTGTATTGTAGTAGATATACCATATGATAAATAGATACATACGATCAACAATAGCTATAAATTGATATCGTTGTCATTCCTACTCTTGATGTATATAAAGTCCACAACAATAAAATATTTCATTTGCATTTTGTTAGGATTTGTTCATCGACATTCAACATATTGTTTGTCGCCCGCGTGGCGCAGTGGTTAGAGCGTCTGCTCTAGAGTCGCGAAGTAAGGAGTTGATCCTTACGTCGCGGGTTCGAATCCCACTGTGGGACGTGGAGACCGGTCCTTCGGATGAGACCGTATAAACCGAGGTCCCGTGTCGCAGTAGGTGCTGGCACGAAAAAGACCCCTCACTGCTCAATGGCCGTAAGTGCCGAGTATAGGACAAAATTTGCAGCTCTCCACCGATAAGTAGTGGCGTCTCCATATGAGTGAAAAATTCTCGAGAGGGACGTTAAACAACATACAAACAAATAATCAACATATTGTTTACATGTTTATGTTACGTTTGTCCCAGAAATCCCGCGAGATTTGTAGATTTTCCGACTTTTTCACAAAAGAGCGCACTAAGAAGTATAACTCTTCCATAGTGGAAATAGAACGTATTGTCTGAATTCGTCGGAAAGAATGCAAGTGTATTTTCTTATTTAAGACATAGATAATATTTCTTTCAACCCTTTCTCATATTTCGAACAAATTTGCAATGTTTGCATTCAAGAAATTGAACATATTTCAGTTTTGAAAGATCATAAGGGTATGACCTGATATTTTTAATTTCATAAGGTGCGAAAGAGGGTGTTGCAGAAACTCGTGATTATTCCCTATATCGAGAAGGACATTTAACAGGTCGAGGAATCTACCATATATGGATATTGTTGTCATTGCGCACAGAGGTGCTTACAGCGAGCAATCGTCCAACCCAATGAATGAGCCGAAAAGCATGATGGTCTACTACATGTTTATATTTTACTACAAACACATGGGTCAGGCAAATTTAGGACGCGATTTCAAATGATTGCGGGAAAGTCATCTAATAACTATTTTTAATGTTTTTGTAAAAAAGACGAAGAATAGGTACTAATTAAGATTTTCCATGCTCACATTAACAAACAAAGTCGATTTTCCGTGTAAAATAGTACGTTGAAATACCGCTCACAAAGTCTTCACAGAAAATAAGAACCCAGTTTTATAACTTGATTCGTAAATTTGCCATGCTACTGGTGTTATTCGTTGTTACTTTGTTATTTGTTTACTAAAAATTAAACGCAGTTATAAAAAAAAACATAAGTCTTGCTGTACGGTATTTTAATTCTCATGTACATTGATCATAGAACGTGTATTGAGTAGCATATATATCGAAGTTCTATAGGTAGTAAACAATGAAAATACGTGAGTACACCTCAGAGTCGATTTGTTTTAGACCATGGAGTAGTCAAGTGAAATTCATACTGACTGATAGTACAGCAGGGGAAAACTGCCAGGCTATTGTCAACAAACGGACTTATACAATGGAGTGGAGAAAACACAAATTTTACCGTTGTAAAACATTTGTATGTAAATGTGAGCATAGAACTAGTAGATATTGATGTACAAGTTACATTAAGTGTGTAAAATGCTAGGAAAAATCCATCATGTCTTTCCGAGAGCGATTTCAAAAACTGGCCTTTTCGAAACGTACATGTAGTATTTTTTGTAGTAACCCATAATGCAACTCATTTAGCTGATTGGTCGGTTTGCCAGTCATGTTGGGTGCCTCCTTTAACATGTAAATTTATTCTGAAGTCACAGAAAATAGTTTCCTCGACCTACCCAAGACGCATGAAGAGTTATCTCTAAATATAGATAATGCTACGTAGATGACTTTATTTATGACGGGCATGTCCAGCTTGTTATAACAAAACATTTAACATTTTACGTTTATTTCATGCATAGTTTTTTTTTCCTAACATGGACTAGCGACCTGTAAGTAAACTTTTTTCACATCTATGGTCATGGTCGCCGTATTGCACGAGAAAAGTAAGAACGATAAAAATCACAATTAATGGCAAGTGCATCTCGCACATCATTTTGAAAGCTGTACTGTAGACAGCGTGCGTTAATATTTTTCAATATATAAAAATGTGTCCAATAATCACGCCGTTGATGCAATATATCAAAAAAATTCCATTGAGTCATTTCAATTTTAGTTGTTTCAAGTCAAATCTGAACCACTAAATTAATTAAGAACAATAATAATGAAACGAAATGCGTATGAAAAAATTAGATTATTTAAAATGATAGTACTTTATTTTTTTAAGACATCGCCACTAAATACATGTAATAACATTAAATATATGTCTTATTAGTTTTAGATCACAATATCAAGGAAAACAATTTAATTCTGCATGCATTTAAATATTACCCATTAATTTTCTGACATTCTCTCCCTCTCTCTTTTTCTCTCAAGAGAGATGTTATATTGTACTTCCATTATATAAGAAAAAAATATACCGGCCATGATTCCATGATTCGAACCCATTCTCAGGTAAAAGAATCCTTGCATAAAGGCCACACGCTTTACCACTAGACCAGCTCCGACAGTGAAATATCATGTGCTATTTTATGTGCACATTTTGCATTTCGGATGGATAATAATTTTTATTCGATTTTTGTGATTTTCAAAAATATGCCTCTTTGAAACAAAAATCGGAAATGGCAACTTTGAAGAAAAATCCTGTCTCTTAATGCGTATATCAAATTCATTCTGTTTCAAGGAGGCAATTTTTCAGAACAATGGGGATTCCCTATTTGAAAAACAGAAAACTTGACTTATTTTGCTATGTGACTAATTTAGACTTCATTTAATGGCAAATTGGAAGTCGATATGCAGTTTCTAAATATTGTTCTACATTGTGCTATATATACCGTTGTATTTGAAAAAAATTAAGACCGTTTTCTGTTACTTAAATATTTTCTTTCAAACTGCTACAACTTTAGAGAAAATAACAAAAGAACTGCAACACCCTCTTTATTAAAAATAAATCATATTTGCAGCACCATGAATTTAGCAGAAAAAATGACTGAAGAAACTTATGTTCTAAAATACTACTGTTGGACCAGACTAGAGACGGGGGTCATGCTTGTTTCCCTCAGAATGCGAATTATATTTTAATTTTATTTGACCCTTTACAGTTTGCGTTTCTACAGAAAATATAGTTAAAGTCTATTTCTACCTAGATTTACCTGTAATCTTTAAACCCCTATGGCCGTTCGACATTCTTTGTTCAGAAATGCACTTTAATATTTCTCTTACATTCCTTCTGATGAAAATTAATTGTAGAAATTATAATGTTGCCGCCGAAAACTATCGTAATTCATACACTGCAGAGTTTCATTCAAGTTTGACACAGGGTAAAAACTGTTCCATTCGGAATCACCAACCAATCAATAACATGCGTAAAGATGAATATATACCAGATGCTGTTGAACTCACCTCAAATTGCTAAATGTCTGCTTGGCTACAACTTCCGTGTGATCTGCAGGGTGGGTGTGGAGCTGCCTTCCAAATTCTGTGGGAATGTTTTCT